TCTGCTGCTGGGGTATAAACTGGTACTGAGTGATCAGGAAGGAGATCTTGGGGTCACGATGGATAGGCTGATGAAAATATTGACTTAGTGTGTGGCAGCAATGAAAAAGGCAAAATCGATGCTAGGAATGGTTGGGAAAGGGATTGAAAACAAAACTGTATTTACTGTAATGACCCATGTTGTGGTTGCATTGGGAATACTGTGTATAGTTCTGGTTGACATATTTCAAAAGGATATTGTAGCCCTGGAAAAGGTACAGAAAAGGGCAACCAACAAGATTGAGGGGTCGGAGCACCTTCTCTAACAATATTAGAACTTCTAAGCACTCAATGAAATTGATGGCTAGCATTTGTTCCATGAAAGAGTAATTGTGGAATTCACTGCCACAGGACACAGTGATGGCCACCAGTTAAGTTAGCTTTAAACAGGAAGTAGACATATTAATAGAGAATAGGTCCATCAATGGCTATTAGTCATGATGACTAAAGGAAACTTCCATGTTCAGAGGCAATAGCCGTCTGAATACCAGTGGTGGAGGACAGTAGGGGAAGTAATTCTGTGCATTCTTGTAGATTGTCCAGGGGCATCTGGTTGGCTATTACAGGAAACAGTACATTGGACTAGATGGACCTTTGATCGGATCCAGCACAGCTGCTCTTATGTACAGTGGTCAGGTATGTGCTATGTGTCTGGGTTTGCATATTGTGGTCTTAGGCACATGTATAAGGTGCACCCACACACACACAAACACTTGTGCTAGTCCTGTATCAAGACATACTATCTTCTATAGTTGTTGAGCATAATATTCTTGCTGTTAATCCCCTCAATCACTATTTGATTTCTCCAGCAGAATTGATTCTAGGCCCCTTTCAATCCAAGTGGGCTGAAAACAGCCAACCATTTTGAAATGTAACTGGGATTCAAATCCACAGCCTTTGGATTTGTTGTCTTTTTTGATGTGTGGAGCCCCAAACACTTGCATGTTTTGCATATTGCATCCACCTGCAATATCTGAGTTGTGATCCAATTTGTGATATGGCCCAATTATGCCTCAAATGAAGCATTTATGAACTGTTTCTGTTGCACCAACTGGCTGCAGAATTCCATTCAGGGCCAGGCCTTCAAAACTGCTAATTAGGAAAGAATCATAGATAATTCACTTTTAAACTAAAAATCTATTCATTAAACAATACACCATTTAAACTATCCACGTGAGGTATTAGACTACTACTCGGCTTGATAGAAATTAATTCTGGATCTGTTTATCTCCGCTGTGAATGTTATTTAGCAACTTAATCCAATGTTGTTGAATTAATTATACTTCATATATTATAAAGAACTGAACTTATTAAATATATATATTTTGAGAAAAGAACGAACATACAATTAGAAGAAAGTCTTTCGAAACCTCATTAAAATAAATTCCGTTCTGCTGCTTAGGCCTTGACCTCATAATAAGTAGTTACTATAGCTGAGTCTGCGGAGTGACTGAAAGACGCTGTCTGTTCGTAGTCATCTTTCCTAGTTATTATAGCGTGCAGATCTGCAAAGAAACTCAATGTCATGGAGCCGACAGCATGTCTGCATGAATAGTGTGTGTGGTGGGGTGGGGAACAGATAATTGCACACACTGGCCCACTATTGCCCCATGCCTGGTCAGAAAGCTGGAGAACCTATGGAAAATTAATTTAGGACACTATTGCGGCTTCTAGGGGTTGGCCATACTAAATCATGTATCCAGTCCCACAGAGTCATGTTCCTATGTCTGATTTCAGAGAGCACTTGTGAGTAGGGGGAGGTAGCTCTGACGAACACCATTACTTGTTAATATACCAAACACACATTTACACTGATGGTTGTTGACTCGCTGGGATTTTCCCCAGCCCTGCTGCCTGAATTCTTTTAAACTGAGGAGGCCATTGATTGATTTTGGGACTTCTTGCCACTGAAGTATTACCTCTCCATCTCCATTAAAAAAAACTGGGAAGCCTACCTTGACAAGACCTCCATAAGCATAGCAAGCATGCATGGGAGTCTGAAGTGGGTCAATCATATGCAGACTCTGGGATTTCAAACAGTACTATTCTAGTCAACAAGCTCTTTTGTATATTCAGATTCTTAAACCTTAGCAGGCTCAGCATTCTGACTTGTCAGGCATCAAGCCAACCCTTTGGGGATTTGTGTGTCTGTGTGTGAGTTCTCCAAGAGCAGGATACTAGTTTAAAAAAAAAAAATCAGAGTCCAAAGTAATCAAAACCAGCCATATTAATGCCAACCTCAAAGAGCAATAAACAGCTAGACAAAAATCAATGCTAGATGATAAAGGACAGAAGGGGCCCAGAAAGAAGATTTATAGAAAAAGCTTCAGAGAGGGAAGTGCACACAAAGAAGAAACAAAATAGTACTCGTGTCCTTTTAGGGCTTTAATATTCAGCATAAAGTATATTGCTAAGTGCATAAACAGCTTCTTGGTTACTGTTGTTTAAAAATAAAAAAAAATGCTCAGAAGCTTTTAGATGTACTTCTTTTTGCGTCAGAAGGGATGGTGAGCTTTTTTGATGAAGTGGAACGACATC